AGGATCCCACATGCCGCGGAGCGGCTGGGCCCGTGAGCCATGGCCGCTGAGCCTGCGCGTCCGGAACCTGTGCTCCGCGGCGGGAGAGGCCACAGCAGTGAGAGGCCCGCGTGCCGCAAAAAAAAGAAAAAAAAAAAAAAGTTACACATGAAATCATTGGCAGCTGTCCCCCCCTCCACATCTCGTCTCCTCCTTATAAAGAGAGAACTCACCTTGAGGCCTGCAAAAACCTTCTCGAAGTCTCACGCCGCCATTCAAGCTCGCAACATTCTGTGCAAAGGCTCCACCAATAATTGCCACTGAGTTAAGAGATCAGACAGAGAAACAGGTACAAGAGTAGGTACTCACCTCCCTTCGGCTACGACTCAGTTGCAACCTGTGGGTTACCTCACACAAAGCAAAGCCTCCACCAAGAGAAATTCTTCTACCAGCCCGCACTCTGTGATTGGCCCGTGGGACCTGGCGGGAGGGCAGGACTTCCGGTCCAGGGTGAAATGGCTCTCCTTATAATGGTCAACCGGTGGTTCTCAATCTTTAAAGTGAGACTCACATTGAAATTACCCAGGTCCAATCCTTGGTCATCCTACTTGAATTGGTCTGGGGTGGGCTTTAAGAAGCCAGAAGCCTTCAAAAGCCCCCCAGGTGATTCTGCTACTGACCAGGGTTCTTGACCTTCCCCAATCAATAGAAATTGATCCGAGGCCAGACAAGAAATTCGTGCAAGGTTTTATTGGGGCACTTCCTGCAGCTGGGGGGAGAGAGAACAAACTTCAGGTTCCCTTGCTGGCTTGCTCCCCAAGGCAGGGGGAGGGGGGTGAGCTCTCTCCATATATGGGGAGAGAGTAGGGGTGTGTCCAGGGGGTCGGGCTGGAGGGGGGGCTTAGGTGGTTTGCCCACCCATGAGGTGGTGTTTTGTGCAGGGGGCATGCTCAGTACCCTGCTTTTGCTCCCAACCCCCCGCCCCCCCCCACCGCTTTTGCTCCGGGCTCTTCAAAATTGTCAGTTGCGTTTTCTGGTCTCTTTGTATCTCTTGTCCAGAATTTGCCCCACCTGTAGGTAGGCACGCAGTTAATTTTAGTCCCATGTAGTTTCTTTGTATTTTGTTGCTCGAGGAGTCCAGGTGCAAGCATTGCAGCAAAGGGTCCCAGGTCCCAGCCCGTCTCAATTCTTGTATTTTTTTTAATTTTTAAAAATTGCTGTTTACTATATTTATTTTTAATTTTTGGCCACACCACGCAGCATGTGGGATCTTGGTTCCCCGACCAGGGATCGAATCCACGCCCCCTGCATTGGAAGGCGGATTCTTAACCACTGTACCACCAGAGGATTCCCCAGCCTGTCTCAATTCTAATGTGCAATCTCTCTCCCAGACCAACTAGGTCAGGTTTTTCAACCTTGGCACCTAGCAATATTTTTGAGATGGATGATTCTTTGTTTTGGGGAGCTGTCCTGTGCGTGGTAGGATGTTTAGCAACATCCCTGGTCTCTACCCACTAGATGCCAGTAGCACCATCCAGTTCTGACAACCAAAAATGTCTCCGAACTTTGTCAAATGTCCGCTGGGGAACAAAAATCACCCCAGGTTGAGAACCACTGACACAGGTGCAATTAGCTGACTCCATCATACCAAGGGTATTGAAATGCATCCATATTCCATGTTAACTAAAATGTATCTATCACAATGGTCAAGTGCATTTGTTCTACAGTTGATGGTATTAGTTACTGTTGACATTTAAGTGTGCATCCATGTCACTTATTTTGTATCAATTCTTATAGGTATTAATTTTTAACTCATTTTGCCTCTTTGAGAGCCAATGTTTTTCAAGGAAAAAAAATTGAAAACCTGAGGACTCTCCAGGCTCTATGACTGGAAAATAGCCTGTGGCTTAATAACAATATTCAATATCTTGTAAGAACCTATAATGGAATATAATCAGAAAAAAATAACTGAATCACTATGCTGTACACCGGAAACTAACAATATTTTAAATCAACTCTACTTCAATTTTTTTTTTTTTTTTTTTTTTGCGGTACCTGGGCCTCTCACTGTTGTGGCCTCTCCCGTTGCGGAGCACAGGCTTCAGACGCGCAGGCTCAGTGGCCATGGCTCACGGGACCAGCCACTCCGCGGCATGTGGGATCTTCCCGGACCGGGGCACGAACCCATGTCCCCTGCAACGGCAGGCAGACTCTCAACCACTGCGCCACCAGGGAAGCCCCTACTTCAATTTTTTAAAACCATAAAATTTAGTGATAACATGTCACGTACATTCTAAGCCCATTGCATATATTATCTCATTCAATCCTCAAACAATGAGGCAGGTATTACTATTATCATAACTGTTTTGTACACCTGAGACAGAGAGTGTGAAAGGCAGTCAAAATCTAGAGCACATACTCTTTTTTTTTCTTTTAATAAATTTATTTATTTATTTATTTTTGGCTGCGTTGGGTCTTTGCTGCTGCACACGGACTTTCTCTACTTGCCGCGAGTGGGGGCTACTCTTTGTTGAGGTGCGCGAGCTTCTTACTGCGGTGGCTTCTCTTGTTGCAGAGCATGGGCTCTAGGCACGTGGGCGTCGGTAGTTGCAGCACGTGGGCTCAGTAGTTGTGGCTCACGGGCTCTAGAGCTCAGGCTCAGTAGTTGTAGAGCACGGGGCTTAGTTGCTCTGCAGCATATGGGATCCTCCCGGACCAGGGATCCAATCTGTGTCCCCTGTATTGGCAGGCAGATTCTCAACCACTGCGCCACCAGGGAAGCCCTAGAGCACATACTCTTAACCAGGGGTCAGCAAACTTTTTCTGCAGAGCCAGATAGTAAATACTTTCAATTTTGCAGGAAATATATTATCTGTAGCAACTACTCAATTCTGCCATTGCAGAAAGAAAGCAGCCACAGACAATATATAGTGAATGGGCTGACTGTGTTCCAATAAAACTTTATTGACAAAAACAAGTGGTGGGCCAGATTCAGCCACTGGCCACAGGTTGCTGGTCCTTGCTGTTGTCTGTTATTCTCAACTTTCTATTTTAAATTGGAGAAATAGAGGGAAAGGGTGAGGGAGAGAGATGGGGAGAGGAAAGGAGTTAAAGGAATAAAGAAGACAGAAATGAGAATTAATGTCAAGGACATTCTCCAGGTCACAGTAGGTTCTCTACATAATTAAACATGTGAAATCTCCACCACACATATCTGTGAAAGGGACAATATTTCAACTATACTATTGAGAATTGAAGTTCAAAGACATTGCAGAGCTTGACAAAAGTCTCAGAACTATCAGGGCAGATAAACCCAGAGCAGAAAGATATTAAAACCTCTCTCCAATAAAACTCTTCTCTAACAGTAGAAGGAGGTCATATCCTCCAATGCTGCACACCAGGATTCATCAGACATTAGGGGGATCTTGTAGCCTTGGCTGATATATAAGTGACAGATACAGCTGTGTGATTTTAATCCAATGTTTATTATAGTTATTCTCAGTGAGACATTTGGTCTGATACACCTGCGATAGCTAGAAGTGGGAGTTACTGAGGGAGATTTTAAATTTCTGATTTTATTTCTTTGGTTTCCCTAGAAATATTTACATTTTGCTTTATTACATGAGTCTTTTTTTCCGGCTTTATTGTGATATAATTGACAAAGAGAAATTTTATATATTTAAGGTGTACAGTGTGATATTTTGTTATACATTTACATTGTGAAATGACCACCGCCACCAAGCTAACACATCCATCACCTCACACAGTGTGTGTGTGTGTGTGTGTGTGTGTGTGTGTGTGTGTGTGTGTAAGAAGTGTTTTCTATTTTGCCCTGATTTGCTGAAACTGAAAGATCTTTGGCCAGAGACGTTTGGATATTTTTACTCAAAACATAGGAGAAAAACCTTGATAACTGTCGTCAACTTTTCTTTCTGTCTCCCTTGAAAATAAATTAAACTGTGTAATATTATGTTTGCCCTTATCAGTCAGCCTAAGCCAATGGGAACTGAAATCGCATCCTGCTATGTGTCAACTTACTATTTATAAAAAGCACCCGGCACTTTGATGCTTCTATACACACACATACAACACAAACCCTGAAAATATACTTCTCCTTCACTGTGTAAAAAGTCACATCTCATCCTCTTTTCAAAACTCACACTTTAGGGCTTCCCTGGTGGCGCAGTGGTTGAGAGTCCGCCTGCCGATGCCAGGGGACGCGGGTTCGTGCCCCGTCCGGGAAGATCCCACGTGCCGCGGAGCGGCTGGGCCCGTGAGCCATGGCCGCTGAGCCTGCGCGTCCGGAGCCTGTGCTCCGCAACGGGAGAGGCCACAACAGTGAGAGGCCCGCGTACCGCAAAAAAAAAAAAAATACTGATTACGTAATTACTCCCATTCCTTTCTCCCCTCAACCCCTGTCAACCAACCACTGTTTTCTGTCTCTGTGGATTTACATATTCTAGCCTTCAGCACAAACTTAGTGAGGACTTTGGACTTTTTTTCTAATATAAAGGCGAGCCACTGGCATGTTGGTTATAATTATTATTATATTCTAAGGGGAAAGAACAGAATGCCCCAAAGCCTGAAAGAACCAGGCACATCTCGAGAAACAAAAGGAGATTTTTCAGACTACAGCTTAAGATAGGGCTAGAGCAAGGGGATAATCAGGAAAAAAAAGCACAGAACTGATTCACTTTGCTGTACACCAGAAACTAACACAACATTGTACATCAACTATACTCCAGTTAAAAAAAAAAGAAAAGAAAAAAAAGCACGGGGTGTGCACGGGGGAAACGTGGGAGAGTTTTGTGCAAAGGATAGAACAGGTCAACTGTGAGAGGTGGGAATATTAGAAGTCGATCTGAAACTCGTATTAGGGAAGGTTGAAGAAAGAGATAAGTGTGATGGCCCAGGTGAGGTGCCACAAGGTCCACAATGAGCAAGATATCAGTGAGGAGTCTATGGCATCCACTAGATTCCTTCCATCCCAAACAAAGAGAGTCCTAGGACATACAGCCAAATAGACACTGACTCAACTCCTTGATGGGGCCCCAAGAAGAACACCCCCCCCCGCCACCCTCCTTTTCCACAGCTGTAGGCTCTATCCTTTTACTCTCACACTCCACACCAAGTCCCCTCCCCGCTCCCATGACCTATCTCTTAGATACAACCAAGCCTTGGGATTCTAATGATGGTATCCTCAGTTATGATCATCTGGTCGACCCCCATCCTGACAACTGTGTGACTTCTGGGTCTGAGGGAGGGGTGGGAGTGGCCTGTGGACAGCTCTGACCCGGTGCATCAGGGGTTTCTTTCGGCTGTGCCAATCTTCTGCCAGAAGCCCCACCAGGAGTATTAGAACCACGGCCCCAAGGCATATCCGGACCAGATTGCTCCTAGTGTAATACTGGAAGGCAAGACCTGGAGGAACAAGAGAGACAGGAGCAGATGATAAAAGCCCATCTCCACAGGGGGCCCAAGTTCGATCTCCAGTCAGGGAACTAAGATCCCACATGCCGTGGGGCAACTAAGCCCACGTGTCACGACTACAGAGCCCACGCGCCCTGGAGCCCGAGTGACACAACTAGAGAGAGAAACCCTGCACGCCACAACAAGAGAGAAGCCCTCGCACCACAATGAAAGAACCCGCATGCCTCAACAAAGACCCCGCGTGCCGCAGCTAAGACCTGACGCCACCAAAAAAAGAAAGAAAGAAAATAAATAAGTAAATAATCAATTTTTTAAAAAAGATCTCACATGCAGCACGGTGCAGCAAAACAAAACAGCCCTTCTCCAAGACCCACATGCATATCGGGTTTCTCATAGCCGTATGCCTCATCTGAGACTCTGTTACTCCCAGCTAGCTAGGATGCCAGTCTCCTTTCTGGAAGGTTCCTCTCCTCCTCACCAAGGGTTAGGATTAGATAAGCCCAATTGTCTAAGTATCACCTCTTCCATACACCCCCTCGCAGGCCTCTGATGATACAGCCTCACCCCACACACAGACACTACCTATTTGGCTAATCGTGGATCAGGAGACGGTTGTAACGGGTGGGGAGAGAGATGAAATTTATCTTTCTTTCTCTGACCTTTGAGAAGGTCACCTTCACACCTGATCCCTGCCCAGTTCGGAGCTCCACACACTAACAGTCCCCCTCCACTTCATACTTTACACACCAGAACCCAAGATCACAGAGCTGCAGCTCCTGTGTAGGGAAAGCAGCCAGCTTTGGGTAAAGACATGGGACGGGGAAAGGAAGTTGGTCCAGAGAAGGACACTTGCTCACCAGTTGGAGGGTCTGACTCCTTTGGAAGGATGGTGATATTCCTAGAAGTTTCTGGGAAACAAAAAGGATAAGTGTAAAGGGGTGGAACCATCTCTTCTCCTACCCCTGCTTCTACCGCTAACCTGAACACATGCACTTGGGAGCTGGAATTCCAGGGTTATAAGAAGAGCATGAACTGTAGACTCAGGGTGTTCCAATGTGAACCCCAGACCCATCACTTATCAGATGCAGCGTCTCGGGCAAATGACTTCACATGTATGAGTCAGTTTTCCTATCTGTCCTGAGAGTGACTGGGAACCCAGAAAGGTTTTGAACAGAGGGTGAAGAGGAATCTCATCAGGGTCTTAGAAAGACCCTGCTGGCATCAGGAACCTAAAAAAAGCTAGAGCTGTGTGGACGCAGTGGAGATATCTAACCTGTTCTCTGGGGATCTGTCAAAGGTTTTCCATCTTGGGGGAAATGGAGACTTTTTTCTGGGGAAGCCAAGGGCAAAGAGAATGGCAACATAAAGGAAGCATATTTGCATTGGACTGGAGGAATAAGAAAAATGTACTGTGTCCAGGTAACTATGATCTATTTGGGGCTGAAGCATGGGCTCTGCCTGGAAGCAGTGGGAACGAGATTACACACATGGATCAGAGCCAAGTCAGAAGAGCAATGTGTAGGGACGAGCAATGGCCTTCCCATGATAGCCTTGGTGCCGCCATCTTGGAAAGAGCCACATTACCCAGAACACTCTTCTGCCCCCAAGCTCAGAGCCCATCTCCATCCCATCCTCATCTTCAAACCCAGGACTTTCCTGGGAAGAATCAGGTGGTTTGAGAAGCAGATTAAAAGCCTACAGCCTGACACAGACGTAGAGAACAAATGTATGGATGCCACGGTGGGAAGCGGGGGTGGGGTGCGATGAATTGGGAGAGGGGGATTGACATCTATACACTACTGATACTATGTATAAAATAGATCACTAATGAGAACCTACTGTAGAGCACAGGGAACTCTACTCAGTGCTCTGTGGTGACCTAAATGGGAAGGAAATCCAAAAAAGAGGGAATTATACGTATATGTATAGCTGATTCACTTTTCTGTACACTAGAAACACAACATGGTAAAATTTTTAAAAATTTAGAAAAAAAAAAAGCCTACAGCCTGAGCTGATGGAAGAGAGCCCAATCCTCCAACTCCTTTCTGCTGAGCAGTGGGCGCCTGGCTACTCACCAGTGGTGGCAACTTCGTTCACGAGCGAGTGGTTCAGTTTCTTGGAGGCTTCTGAGAATTCTAAGCAAGAAGATTATAAGGAACTGGGCAATGCCAGGTTTGCCCAGTAAGTCCCTACTCTCCATACCCCTTCTCAGATACCCAGTCTCCCTGGAACCCATTTCTCTAACACACACTGCCCAGACACGGAGGAAAGACAAACTCAAAAAGCCCAAAATGGCTTAATAAGAAATGAGGTGTCAGGGGTCATTTCGAGATGTCACAGCCTAGCGTACTATTTCTTTCTTTCTTTTTTTTAAATTTATTTTATGTATTTATTTTTGGCTGCACTGGGTCTTTGTTGCTATGGGCGGGCTCTCTCTAGCTGCGGCGAGCGGGGATTACCCTTCGTTGCTGTGCGCGGGCTTCTCATTGCGGTGGCTTCTCTTGTTGTGGAGCACGAGCTCTAGAGCACAGGCTCAGTAGTTGTGGCGCACGGGCTTAGTTGCTCCGCGGCATGCGAGATCTTCCCGGACCAGGGCTCGAACCCATGTTCCCTGCATTGGCAGGTGGATTCTTAACCACTGCGCCACCAGGGAAGACCTAGCGTACTATTTCTTAAGACACAGGCTGACATCCGATACCGCCGGAAGCAGCTGAGATGCCATGAAAATTGGGAAGACCATGGCTCACACAAAAGATAGTGCAGTGGTTCTCAAAGGAGCATCCCCAGACCAGCAGCATCAGCATCCCCTGGGAACTTGAAAATTATTGGACCCCACCCCAGACCCTCTGAATCAGAAACTCTACGGGTCTAGGAATCTGTCCTGTATAAGCTCTCTAGGTGATTCTCAAGCCCACTACAGTTTGAGAACCACTGATCAATGGAATCAGAGACTCAGAACTGGAGCCCAGGAATCTACAATTTTACAAGCCACCCTGCTTATTCTTCTACAGGTTAGACATCATAAACCATCCCCGAAAGGCTGGAGAGAGGTGGGGATGTGGCACAGGACAGTCATATCTATACATTTATTATACCTTCTTTACAAGCAGAAATAAGGAATCTTTAAAATAAAGCAAATCTGTGAAAGAGGCAAATGAAATAAACTGAGAAATCTAGACAAAGAGGAGAAAGAAAAGGGGGTCCATGTGCCTTATACCACGGAAACCAAGGTGAATCCTCCAGAACTTACCTGTCACAGAGGAAGGTGGTTCTGTAGGCAACCAGCTGGGGGTAAAAGAGGTCCCTGAGAAATCAGAAAAAGAAAAGAGAGAGAATTCTGTGCTCTGTTAGGTATGGAGCCTGAGCAAACCCAGTTTCCTCACCTGGAAAATAAAAATAAAGACGCTTCCATCATTGGACTGTTGTGGGTGTTAAATAGCATTTGAAAGGCACACCTAGCACATTCTGGGGCTGATTAATGACACTCCCTGCAGCTGCCTTCCCTGCTTTTCGAAGCTCAGTGCTTTCCTTTCTTCTGGATCTCTGTGACCTGCCGTCTTACTTATCTGCCTTCCCCGGGAACAAACCCGGCTCTTGCCTCCTGGGAAGCAGATGAGGAGACAGAAACTATGGGATACATCTGGGGAAGACAGGCATCCCATGTGGGGAGAAAAGGGAACTGCCTACGGAATAAAACACAGCCCCGCTTTCCCCTCCCACCACCCTTGCTGCTTGCTTGTGGGTTTTTTTTTTTCCTAGACAAGTCACAAGGCATTATTCATAGTATTAAAATTTCTTTTTTTTACATCTTTATTGGAGTATAATTGCTTTACAATGGTGTGTTAGTTTCTGCTTTATAACAAAGTGAATCAGTTATACATATACATATGTTCCCATATCTCTTCCCTCTTGCGTCTCCCTCCCTCCCACCCTCCCTATCCCCTCTAGGTGGTCACAAAGCACCGAGCTGATCTCCTTGTGCTATGCGGCTGCTTCCCACTAGCGATCTATTTTACGTTTGGTAGTGTATATATGTCCATGCCACTCTCTCACTTTGTCCCAGCTTATCCTTCCCCCTCCCCATGTCCTCAAGTCCATTCTCTAGTAGGTCTGTGTCTTTATTCCTGTCTTACCCCTAGGTTCTTCATGACATTTTTTTTCCCTTAAATTCCATATATATGTGTTAGCATACAGTATTTGTCTTTCTCTTTCTGACTTACTTCACTCTGTATGACAGACTCTAGGTCCATCCACCTCATTACAAATAGCTCAATTTCGTTTCTTTTTATGGCTGAGTAATATTCCATTGTATATGTGTGCCACATTTTCTTTATCCATTCATCCGATGATGGACACTTAAGTTGTTTCCATCTCCTGGCTATTGTAAATATAGCTGCAATGAACATTTTTTTCTTGGGAATTCCCTGGCGGTCCAGAGGTTAGGACTCCGTGCTTTCACTGCTGAGGGCATGGGTTCAATCCCTGGTTGGGGAACTAAGATCCCACAAGCTGCACAGCATGATCAAAAAATTTTAAAAAATAAAATTTAGGGCTTCCCTGGTGGCGCAGTGGTTAGGAGTCCGCCTGCCGATGCAGGGGACGCGGGTTCGTGTCCCGGTCCGGGAAGATCCCACATGCCACGGAGCGGCTGGGCCCGTGAGCCATGGCCGCTGAGCCTGCACATCCAGAGCCTGCGCTCTGCAACGGGAGAGGCCACAACAGTGAGAGGCCCGCGTACTGCAAAAATAAATAAATAAATAGATAAATAAATAAAATTTATTTTTCTTAGTGTGTATACCCAGAATAATGGCCTCCCAAATATGACAGTATCCTAATCCCCAGAACCGGTGACTATGGTACCTTCCATGGCAAAAGGGACTTGCAGATATGATTCAGAATCTTGGGCTGATTCGCAGCAACATGGATGGATCTAGAGATTGTCATACTGAGCGAAGTAAGCAGGACAGAGAAAGACAAACATCACAAGATATCGCTCATATGTGGAATCTTAAAAAAAGGGTAAAAATGAACTTATTTACAAAACAGAAATAGAGTCACAGACATAGAACACAAACTTATGGTTACCGGGGGAAAGCAGGGGAGGGACAAATTGGGAGATTGGGATCGATGCCTACACCCTACTATGTAGAAAACAGACAACTAATAAGGACCTACTGTATAGCACAGGGAACTCTGCTCAATACTCTGTAATGTATGGGAAAAGAATCTTAAAAAGACTGGATATATGTATATGTATACCTGAATCTCTTTGTCATACACCTGAAACTAACACAACATTGTTAATCAACTATACTCCAATATAAAATATAAAAAAAAATTTTAAATAAAAATAAGGGACCTCCCTGGTGGTCCAGTGGTTAAGACTCCACACTCCCAATGCAGGGGGCGCAGATTCGATCCCTGCTCGGAGAACTAAGATCCCACACGCTGCATGGCCCAGCCTAAAAATAAATTAATTAATTAATAAAATAAAGTAGGGAATTCCCTGGTGGTCCAGGGGTCCGTGCATCCACTGCAGGGGGCACAGGTTTGATCCCTGGTCGGGGAATTAAAGCTCCCGCATGCCACGCGGTGCGGCCAAAAAAAAAAAAAGGAAAAAGGAAGAAACAAAATTTTAAAAAATAAAAATAAAATAAATGAAAAGACTGCATATATGTATATGTATAACTGATTCACTTTGCCGTACACCTGAAACTAACACAACATTGTAAATCAACTATACTTCAATAAAAAATTTTTTAAAAAGAATCTTGGGCTGGGGAGATTACCCTGGACTACCTGGGTGGGGCCAATCACAAGGGTCCTTAAAAGCATAAGAGAGAGGCAGGAAGGAGGAAGAGTCAGAGATAGATTAGAAGATGCTATGATGCTGACTTTGATGATGGAGCAATGGACCATGGAAGCCAAGAGATTTGGCACCTCTAGAAGCTGGAAGAGGCAGCAGAAACCTCCCCTTGAGCCTCCAGAAAGAAGGCTGGCTGACACCTTTGTTTTATCCCCGCAGGACCCCTTTTTTTTTTTTTTCCCCCCTGCAGGACCCCTTTTTGACCTCTGACCTCCAGAACTGTAAGGTAATAAAGTTGTGATATTTTAAACCAGTGAATTCATGGTGATTTGTTACAGCAGCACTCAGACACTCATACACCCTGCAAAGCCTCTGTCTTCTCCTGCCCTCCCACTGTCTTCATGCCTATTGCTCCCTCCCCTTGGAGCTTCCACCAGGGCCTGTGAAGCCTGGGGGAAAAGGTTTGGTCTGCACCCCTAACCTGTGACCACGAGCTCCAGGGGGTCGCTGGGGGCCGACCACAGGTATGGAGATGTGCTGGAAAAGCTGTAGCACTGGTAGGTCCCACTGTGGGCAGCAGTCACCGTGGTGATGGGAAAATCAGCCTGGTACCACCTTTCAGGTGTCTTGTAGGGCCCAGTGTCCCCCTCCTTGTACAGAGCAAATTGGTCAAAACCATACTGGCTGTGACACCGTAGAGTTACGTCCGCTCCTGGGGCCACTGCCGTGCTGGGCTGGGCTGAGAGCGAGGGCTTGGTGAAAACTCCTGGGAGAGAAGAAAACTCTGGTATTAAAGATGGTGGCCCCTGTGGAAAACAGTATGGAGGTTCCTTAGAAAACTAAAAATAGAATTACTATATGATCCATCAATCCCACGCCTGGGCATATAGCCGGACAAAACTCTAATTCAAAAAGATACATGCACCCCTATGTTCATAGCAGCATTACTCACAATAGCCAAAGCATGGAAACAACCTAAATGTCCATCAACAGATGAATGGATAAAGAAGATGTGGTACATATATACAATGGAGTACTACTCAGCCATAAAAAGGGATGAAATAATGCCATTTGCAGCAACCTGGATGTAACTAGAGATTATCATACTAAGTGAAGTAAGTCAGAAAGAGAAAGACAAATACCATATGATATCACTTATTTGTGGAATCTAAAATATGACACAAATGAACATATCTATGAAACAAAAACAGACTCACAGACATAGAGAACAGACTGGTGGTTGCCAAGGGGGAAGGGGCTAGGGGAGGGATGGAGTAGGAGGTTGGGGTGAGCAGATGTAAGCTTTTATATACAGAATGGATAAACAACAAGGTCCTACTGTATAGCACAGGGAACTGTATTCAATATCCTATGATAAACCATAATGGAAAAGAATATTTTAAAAAATAGAATATATATATATATAACCAAATCACTTTGCTGTACAGCAGAAATTAACACACCATTGTAAACCAACTATACTTCCATTAAAAAAATATTAAAACTGAAAATAAATAAATAAATAAAGATGGTGGCCAGTGTCTCAGCTGTGGGGATGGGAAGGTTCCCCCACCTCTTTACAGGCTAGGGAACTTTCCAGCTGTATCCAGCCTAGAGAAGCTACTCTTCCCACCACCAGCTCACAAAGTGGTTAAGGGAGCACGACAGGAGTGCCATGACGGTACCCAGGCTCAAATCCTGGTTTTGCAGCTTAGGGGCTGGACGAATCTCCCCCTATATCTGTGCCTCCGTGCTCTCTACTATAAAACGGGAATGACTGGATGAAACAATATGTGTTAAGCATTTAACAGAATACGGAGTGCATAGCAAGCACCCAAAATATAATGGTAGTAACAAACTAGCTTAACCTGATACTATACCGTAAGCTTGTATTACAGTATACAATAGTTATATTGTAAACGTATTAGAGTGCCAGATTCCAGGTGCTGTTCCGAGACCATGCCATTTATCAATTCACTGAACCCTCACAAAGACCTATGCATTCACTCCTATAAATATCCCCACTTTTACATGAAACTAAAGTCCGCAATGCTGAATCACTTGTCCGAGGTCACAAGATAGCATAAGTGGTGGAGCTGAAATTTGCAATCACGGAGGTTGGCTCCAGGCTGTCTGCTCCTAGAGGCGAACCTATCCTACTATGTAAGTTGATATTATTATTATCATCATGGAGCGTTACAAGCCACGCCTAGAAAGCCATACTCACAACAGCCAAAGTTGCCTGATAATTATGGCTCATTCTTTCATTCAACAATTTTTTCCTCTGAGCAACTATTATGTATCAGTCTCTAGAAATAAAAATCCCGTCAGGAAGAAAGAATAGCCAACAGCTAATAGATGAGTAGGGCTTCCCCGGTGGCGCAGTGGTTAAGAATCTGCCTGCCAATGCAGGAGACACGGGTTCCAGCCCTGGTCCGGGAAGATCCCACATGCCACAGAGCAACTAAGCCTGTGCACCACAACTACTGAGCCTGTGCTCTAGAGCCCACGAGCCACAGCTACTGAGCCCACGTGCCACAACTACTGAAGCCCGCACGCCTAGAGCCCAGGCTCCGCAACAAGAGAACCCAGCGCACCGAGAAGCCCAGGCACCACAATGAAGAGTAGCCCCTGCTCGCAGCAACTCGAGAGCCCGTGCGCAGCAACGGTAGACCCAACACCGCCAAAAATAAATAAATAAAAATAAGTTAAGAAAAAAATAGATAAGTAAATGCGTGGCATACCAGATAACGATGAGTGCCATTTTAAATCGAGATGGAATTTTAAGTAGGGTGGTGAGGGAAATAATGAGAAGATAGTATTTGATGGGGGACTTCCCTAGTGGTGCAGTGGTTGAGACTCTGCACTTCCAGTGCAAGGGCACAGGTCTGATCCCTGGTGGGGGAGCTCAGATCCCCCATGCTGCGTGGTGAGGCCAATAAATAAACAAATAAATAAGCTACCTTCTTTTAAAAATAAAAAATAAAATTAAAAAAAGATAGTATTTGAGTCAGCCCCCAAGGCACACTGGTGGACCACTGTACCTCAAGTAGTCAGGAGTTAGGATGAGGCAAGCTAGGCACTCTCTTCGGATGAAAAAAAAAAAAAAAACCTTCAGTAATCAAGATAAATATTATTTTAATGCAAATTTTAAAATAAAAATGAATGCAAACACATTTACAGGAAACAAAATATCAAGATTTTAAACAAAGACAGAATCCACCTGTGCCCAGGGGAGCCATGGTGAAGTCTGAAACATGAACCTACCCTGCTATATAACTTGCTATTATTATCATCACAGAGCCTCCCAATCCAGCCTGGCACACAGTACTCACAACAGTGAAAGCTGCCTGATAATCGGAGGCAAAAGGCTCAAGACGTTTTTATGGCTTTTTACGGTTCATTTGTTCCACGTTATGAACATAGCTGCAAAAAGACTGAAAAGTTTAAAAGTAGGTTACTAAAACTCACATTATTTTAAGTTTAAATATTTTATTTATACAAAAAATAAACAGAATTCATTTTCATTTTACTCTCCTGGCTTTGATGGAAGCAAACTCAATATTTTTTGAAGTCACTTCAGAAAATAATCATTTAAAAATGCATTAGCTAGAAAAGGATATGCTGAGAACATTTTATTCCATCAAAAAATAAAAAGGCATAAACGTGGGACTTCCCTGGCGGTCCGGTGGTTAGGACTCCGTGCTCCTACTGCAGGGGGCATGGGCTGGCTCCCTAGTCAGGAAACTAAGCTCCCGCGTGCCGCACAGTGCAGCCAATAAAGAAACAAATTTATTTTTTCAATGCATAAATGTGGCTAGAGGGGTACGCATTTTTCCTCTTGTGTCAGGTCTGGATGTGGCTTGGAACGGCATTCCCGGAACTTGTCTTTACTTAAAATTGCGGTATTGTGTACATCGTGGATGTTTTTGCATTGATTTGGGTTTTGGTTTTTTTTTTTAAGATATTGCATTAACGTATTACTTATGTTGATTACTGAGTTTTTTGGCACCCTAATTTAGCACCTAAAGCCAATGCCTCGCTTGCCCCACCCTAAGCCCAACCCCTCTGGGACTCTGGATTGGGACTTTGGATTTACGGTCACCATAACCCCCACTGTCTGAGCCCAGAACTGAGGACCACGCAGCCCTGCGGCTACAAATCCAGCCGCACCCCACGCCCAGTTACCAGTAGCAACCAGCTCCAGCTGGTTGCTGGGGGGAGACCAGGTGGTCCCGCTCTGATAGGAGCAGCGGTAGCGTCCGACGAAGCGTTGTTCCATGGCCGAGATGGAGAGCTCCGCCTGGTCCAAATACTTCCGGGATATCAGTTCCTCCAGGCGGTACAAGTCCGCGCCTGGAGGGCCCTGACAGCTGATGGTCACCGGCTTCCCCAGGGGCACAAGGGAGCCGGGCCGGGCCTGGAGGGAGGGCTTGGGCAGCAGGCCTGGAAGGGAAGCAGAGTCTAGCAGAGGTCAGCTTCCAACAGAGCCTCCTCCTGGGCTCTCCCACCCGCTTCTGCCCTCTCGCTGGCTGCACCCACAAGAGGGATCTGGACTCACCTTTCTGAGCCTGTATCACCTGGCCCAGACACAGCCCTGAGGAAAGAAGCAAAGGGTCAGTCACCAGGACCTCAGCATGAATCCACACTTCCTGCGTGCTGGGCACCGGGATGAGAAACTTGCATGCACTGGCTTTCTTTTTTTAAAATTTTTATTTTATGTTGGGGGTATAGTTGATTAACAACGTGTTAGTTTCAGGTGTTCGCTTTCTTTTGTCATAATTTTTTTTCAAAGACACACATACACGTAATTGAAGTGAAAGAAGCCAGCCAGAAAAGGCCATGATTGTATGATTCCATTTCTATGAAACATCCAGAATGGATCAATCCGTCCAGAGACAGTAGATGGGGGAGGGGGGTGGCGGGTACCGGGAGGAGCGGGGATTGGGGAGTGATTGTAACGGGTATGAGGTTTCCTTTTGGAGTGGTGAAAAGGCCTTGGAACTAGAGAGACGTGTTGGTTGCACAACATTGTGAGTGGACTACATGTCATCAATGGTAAATTTTATGTGAAGTGTATTATTTTACCACAATTTTTAAAAAGCTGAACAGGGATTCCTTGCCGCAGCCCCCAGCTCCCTGCAGTACACTCCCCCATGCACACAGCTGGAGAGAGAAGGGAGCTGTGTGCTGGAAGGGGCTCTCACTTTTTTCCAGTTTCACAGAGATGTAATTGACATGTAACATGGTGTACGTGTAACAGTGTTGATTTGAGACATTTTTCTGTTGCAGGATGGTTACCACCATAGTACTAGCTGACACCTCTAGCCGGGCACATAGTTGCTATTTCTTTTTAGTGGTGAGAACACTGAAGATCTAGTCTCTCAGCAACTTTCAAGTATACATTACAGTATTATTAGCTATAATCACCATGCCGTATATTAGATCCCGATGTGGTGTCTTGCATTAAATCGTAAGTCAAGAGCTCTCAGGGTGCATTGATACTGGATTCCTCCCTATTTTATGCTTTTGGGTTAAATCAATATTCTCCCTATTTTGTGCTTTTGGGTTAAGTCATTATTATGACTGTGCAAATATCATTCACACCTGAGCACTATAATGTACCTACATACTATTTTTCTATTTATTTTCCCTAGGATCAATAATTGTATGTTTTATTTCCATCCACATAGTGTTCCTTGAACCTATATCTAATGCTTTTCACAATTTTCAATAGCCTTTCCATGTAACTTTACACATCTATCAAACTGCATCATCTATACATTCCACTTTTATCCTTGGAGGTGCCTTCCCCCCATTTTCTCTTCTAACTGAACTAATTCTTCTCTAGGTTGAAAAACTGCCCTTTTTCTCTCAAGCTAAGACTTTTTTTTTTTTTAACCGTTTTGCTGAGTTAGTAGCATTAACAATTTAAGTCTCCCTAGGGTTGCCAGATTTAGCAAATAAAAACATGGGACTCCCAGTGAAATTTGAATTTCAGGTAAACAACAAATAATATACAGCATATATTGCATAGTAGGTCCCATGAGGCCCACGACCAGGTAGATTCAAACACTAGCAGCATATTTTCGTGGTAAAGAATGTGGATTTGGTGCAAACATTCCTTAGTTTGTATTCGAGCCACAGCTGTGTGACCTTAAACAAGTTACTTCATCCTTCCGGGCCTCAGTTTTCTCACCTGTAAAATGGGAATAATCGTAGGCCCTACTTCATCAGGCTGTTATGGGGATTAAATGAGTAAGTGTCCCTTTAAAAACACAGAATAATGTATCTGTAAGTGCTACATGAGTGTCTTTAAAGAATGAATAAGTGAATGAGAGGCAGTTTGTGTTCATAGTATACACTCTTATCCCCAGTAACACCAACTGTTTCCTTCCTTCTTAGCCGCTTGGAGCCTCTGTCCTTTTAGCGATAAAGTTCTTTTGAAGAAATAAGGAAATAATGCACACACGTGCCCAGAATAAAGCTTGATACGGAGAAGGCAGTAAAAACGCATCTGAGCCCACCCCCAGTCCTGTTAAGGGGGACTCTTACTAGAGCCTTAGTGAGGTTAATTGACAAACAGAAATCTTATATATCTAAGGTTTACAGCATGATGACTTGTGAAATAATTACCACAATCAAGCTAATTAACACATCCATCACCTCACGTAATTATCTTTTTTTTTTTGGTGAGAAATTTAAATGTACTCTCTTAGCAAATTTCAAGTATATGCTACAGTATTATTAGCTATGATTATCATTCTATAATTTGGATCTCCAGAAGTTCTTCATCTTATAGCTGGAAGTTTGTACCCTTTGACCAACATCTACCTCCCCATTTCCCCCACCCCCATGCCCCGGGCCCTGGCATCTACCAACCTACTCTCCGCTTTTGTGGGTTTTTGAGATTCCATGTATAAGTAAGATCCTGCAGTATTTGTTTTTCTCTATCTGGATTATATCACTCAGCATAGTACCCTCAAGGTCCGTCCACGTTGTCACAAATGGCAGAATTGTTTGCACCAGTACCATGAGGGATACTGACAAGCTAAATCTGTAATCTAGCCCTGATACCAAATCCACATTAAACAAAATTAAAAATTAAAACATAACAAGGACCAATTGTATAGCACAGGGAACTCTCCTCAATACTCCATAATGGCCTGTATGTGGAAAGAATCTTAAAAAAGGTGGATATATTTATATGTATAGCCGATTCACTTTGCTGTATGCCTGAAACTAACACAACATTGTAAATCAACTATACTCCAATAAAAATTAACAACAGGGCTTCCCTGGTGGCGCAGTAGTTGAGAGTCCGCCTGCCGATGCAGGGGACACGGGTTCGTGCCCCGGTCCGGGAAGATCCCACTTGCCGCGGAGCGGCTGGCCCCGTGAGCCATGGCCGCTAAGCCTGTGCGTCCGGAGCCTGTGCTCTGTAACGGGAGAGGCCACAACAGTGAGAGGCCCGCGTACGGCAAAAAAAAATAAAAATAAAAATAAATAACAACAAAAAAAAGCGAAGAGCCAAGGAAATGTTTAAATACTGTGGAATAATATTCAGCTATTTAAAAGAATAAATTAAAAATTATACATGTCTACTGCTATGTGTCAAAAAGTAAGCTGCAGAATGTGTACCATATGTTCTTATTTTTATAAGAAAAAACTCTATGTACGTATGTGTACACATTTGTACTAAAAAATTAAGATAAATGTAGAAGGATAAACAAGTATTGGCTACTGTTGGTGACTTAAGGGGGACTTAGAACAGAATTTATTGTTTTCTTATATGTTCTCTTACAACTTGTAAGAAGAAGCATAAACTTTTATAAAGAATCTAATAACAGTTTAATAAAAAAACACACAACAAGGACCTACTCTATAGCACAGGGAACTATACTCAATATTTTGTAATAACCTATAAGAAAAAGAATCTGAATAAGAACATATATATGTATATATCTGAGTCACTGTGCTGTACACCTGAAACTAACACCACATTGTGAATCAACTATATTTTAATTAATTAATTAAAATTAAAACAGCATGGAGTAGTGGGAACGTTGCAGTCAACACTGGGAAACCTGTATTTATTTTTTAACTCAGCCATGAATAAACTAGAGTAATCCAGACAAACACCATCTCCCAGTTTTCCCACCCAACAAATAAATGCGGTGACCCTTGGTCACCTCCTGCCCTGAAAATTTCCTCTTGCCTCTTGTACTGATGCAATTTTTTTAAAAATTCTTTGTCTCATAGCCCACTGCCTATCCCTCAGCATTTTGCAGATTGACTCACCAAGACAGAAGAAAGCAGCCATGGTTGGGGACATGGTTCCTCGGCCGGTCCTGAGCTGTATAGCCCAGGAGGGAAGCCCTGGGTGCAGGCTGGAGCAGAGATACAGGATGCGATGGGAATGAAGAATGCTCTCCTCCCTTCCCCCATCGGCCTGGCTTTTCCTAATTGAGACTCATCAAGCTGGAGGCGTCCCCTCAGTAGAATGACTTGCACACAAGCTCCAAGGAGCCTGGCTTATCTCCCGTCACCAGCCCAGTGTCCCAGCAGGTCTGCCTAGCGAGGCATCGTCTGCGTTCTGATACTCCCAGAAGCTCCCTGGCATTCATTAGGGACATGCAAGTCAAAACCACAATGAGATATCACTTCACACCCACGAGGATGGCTCTATCAAAAAGACAGATATTAACAAATGTTGGTGAGGAAATGGAGAAGTTGGAGTCCTCGTGCTTTGCTGGTAGGTGTATAAAATGGTGCCTCCGCTGTGGACAACATTTCCTCAAAACGTCAAGCAGTGAATGCTTCAGCAACTCCACTTCTGGGTATACACCCTAAAGAACTGACAGCAGGAACCTGAACAGATATTTGTATACCTGTGTTCACAGCAGCATTATTCACAATCGCCAAAACATGGGAACAACTCAAATGTCCATTGATGGAAGGATCAATAAACTGTGGTGTACACATACCACAGTGGAATATTGTTCAGCCTTTAAAAGGAACGAAATTCTGACACAGGCTACGACCTGGATGAACCTTTATTAGGCTAAGTGAAATAATCCAGACCCAAAAGACCACACATTATATGATCCCATTTATATGAAATACCCGGAACAGGCAAATTCATAGAGACAGAAAGGGCTCTGACGTTATCAGGGGCTGCGGGAAGGGAGAATGGGAAGTTATAGCACCATTTTAGACCTCTACCAGGGTAAAATGCATGGAAACTTTGGTGTTTTGAGCAAGGTGCTGACACGGAATACTAGCTGACGGATCTCTGTAATAGCGTGGTTTCAGGGAACTTCTCTTCTCTCTTCTCTTTTGTAGATATGTTGTTTTGAGGGCATGCCTGATGGTAAGAAATATTCATAGAGGAAAGGCAGCACGTTCAGCCTGCCCTAAAGTCTTGATGAAATAAAGAGCTTGGCATTTTCATGTAAGCAGAAAATGACTGGTGTAGCTGGACTTAAGTGAGCAGAAAACTAAGACTGAAGCGATTATAAGGGTCAGATCAGGATGGCCCAACTTTCGCAGGTGATTCTTTTCCTTTTAATTATCTTTTATTTCTCTTAGTTGAAGCATAGTTAATTTACAATGTCGTATTAGTTTCACTTGTACACACAGCAATTGTTATACATACATACATATACACGTGTATTCTTACATGTATAAATACATGTATGTATATATATGTAGGTATGTATATTCCTTTTCAGATTCTTTTCCCTTATAGGTTATCACAAGATATTGAGTATAGTTCCCTGTGCTGTACAGTAGATCCTTGCTGTTTACCTATTTTATATATAAGTAGTGTGTATCTATTAATCCCAAACTCTTATCTCCCCACCACCACCCGCTACTCCCTTTGGTAACCATGAGTTTGTTTTCTCTGTGAGTCTATTTCTGTTTTGTAAATGAGTTCATTTGGACCAGGTGACTCTGCTGGAGTAGGGGAGGTCTGTCCTGTGTATTAATAGGGTTAGCAGCATCCCTGGTCTCCATCCACTACATGTCACTAGCGCTATGCCCCCTCCAGTTGTGACAACCAAAAACGTCTCCAGACATTGCCGGGTGTCCCCTGGGGCGTGCAGGATCACCCCCAGTTGAGAACCGTTGGGTTACATCATTCAGGGACTTAGAGGGCAAGATAAATTTAGATGCACAAATATCCCTTTATAATACTCCTCACTTTTCAAGCATTCCCTCATTTGATCCTCATGCAAGCCTGAGAAACGGGTTCTGCTTTAGTCCCATTCTGGTGAGAAAACTTGAGCTTGGAAGAAAATGTGCTTTTTTAGGTGAAGCTTGGGTGCTGGGAGCCAAATAAGTCATTTTCCTCTGGTTTAGCACACGTTCACATGGATCTAGGCAGAGTCTCTCCCTTGTTCACTTTACGTATGCCCTTTGGTTCTCATTTCTTTTCTCCATCTCCAAGGAACAACTCTACAATATCTCATGTGAATTAGTTCATTTCTGCAAAACGTGATTTCGTACCGTGCAAAATGTATACTGTATTGTAAATTGTGCGATGCCGTGGAAGTCATTCGTCTTTCCATTGCCCACAGAGATTTCATAGATCTGTAGAATACTGATTTGCTTCCAACACATTTATCCCTCCACTGTCCCAGTAACAGACAGCCACATCGTATCCAAATATCTCCAAGATAAACAATTCTGAGCTAAATATCATTCTACATGTGCCTCTGTGGACATATGTGAAATGTCCTTGAAACATGCACCCAACAGCAAACGCCAGCTCTTAAGTGTATCTTTCATTTACTTACTGCCAAACTGAACTCTGCATCCGCCGCACCAGTTTCTTGCCCCCCAACGGTGCAAGAGGAACCCCATACCTCCCCAATACCCCCAACATGTGGGGCTACCCAGTTTGGGACTGACAGGTACACACTGCTGTATTTAAAATGGATAACCAACAAGGACCTATGTACTGCACAGGGAACTCTGCTCAGTACTCTGTAACAACCTAAACAGGAAAAGAATTTGAAAAAGAATAGATGCATGTCTGTGTATAACCGAATCACTTTGCTGTACGCCTGAAACTAACACAACGTTGTTAATCAACTGTACTCCAATATAAAATAAAAAGTTTTTTAAAATGTGGGATTACCCAGCCTTCTAATCTTTGCCAGTCCGATGGTATATTAGCTTCCTAGGGCTGCCATAACGAAGTATCACAAACTGAGTTGCTTAAACAATAGAAATTTATTGTGCCATGGTTCTGGAATGTAGAAGTCTGAGATCAAGATACTGGCAGATTTCCTTCTGAGAACTGCGGGGTAGAGGTCGGGGCAGAGTGGGGGGACTTGGTGCGTGCCTCTCTCCTAGCTTCTAGCGACTTGCTGGCAATCTTTGGTGTCCCTTGTCTTATATTTTTTAATTTTTATTTTTATTAATTTTTAATGGAAGTAAAATTGAAGATGTGTTAGTTTCTGGTGTACAGCAAAATGACTCAGTTATACATTCTTTTTTTATGTATATTAATTTATTTTATTTATTTATTTTTGGCTGTGTTGGGTCTTCGTTGCTGCGCGTAGGCTTTCTCTAGTTGCGGCGCGTGTTTCTCACTGTGGTGGTTTTTGTTGCAGAGCACAGGCTCTAGGCGCACGGGCTTCAGTAGTTGTGGCTCTCAGGCTCTGGAGCGCAGGCTCAGTAGTTGTGGTGCACAGGCTTAGTTGCTCTGCGGCATGTGGGACCCTCCTGGACCAGGGATCGAACCTATGTCCCCTGCCCTGGCAGGTGGATTCTAAACTACTGTGCCACCAGGGAAGTGCCTCGTATATATATTCTTTTTCATGTTCTTTTCCATTATGGATTATTACAGGATATTAAAGAGAATAATTTTTAAATGTGTACACGATCATTCAGCTAGTGGGTGCAGAAGAGAATGTGAACCCTAATTAGCCCATCTATTCTAGACTCTGAGCTCTTACTACTATGCTCTCCCACCAAATGTCACTCCCCAACATCGTCCACATTATTTTTCTCCCTGGGTCTATTTCCATCAATCAACACACATTCTCAATTCCCATCTATTTCTTCTACTCTCCACTCCAAACCACTTGGCTGTATTTCACTGACCCTACCATTAACTTTCTTCTCTACTTCCTCTCATCAAAACTTACTGAATTATTATTACTTTTTTTTTTTTTTTTTGCGGTACGCGGGCCTCTCACCGCTGTGGACTCTCCCGTCGCGGAGCACAGGCTCCGGACGCGCAGGCCCAGCGGCCATGGCTCACGGGCCTAGCCGCCCCACGGCATGTGGGATCCTCCCGGACCGGGGCACGAACCCGTGTCCCCTGCATCGGCAGGCGGACTCTCAACCACTGCGCCACCAGGGAAGCCCCCTTATTGAATTATTTTTAATACCAACTCCAATTCCTCTCCTGTCATTCACATCTCTTTTTGATTGTGTTCTATTTTTTTTTAACATCTTTATTGGAGTATAATTGCTTTACAATGGTGTGTTAGTTTCTGCTTTACAACAAAGTGAATCAGCTATACATATACATATGTCCCCATATCCCCTCCCTCTTATGTCTCCCTCCCACCCTCCCTATCACACCCCTCTAGGTGGTCACAAAGCACCGAGCTGAGCTCCCTGTGATATGCAGCTGCTTCCCACTAGCTATCTATTTTACATTTGGTAGTGTAGCTATGTCCATGCCACTCTCCCACTTCGTCCCAGCTTTCCCTTCCCGATCCCCATGTCCTCAAGTCCATTCTCTACGTCTGCATCTTTATACCTGTCCTGCCCCTGGGTTCTTCAGAACCTTTTTTTTTTTTTAGATTCCATATATATGTTTTAGCATACGGTATTTGTTTTTCTCTTTCTGACCTACTTCACTCTGTATGACAGACTCCAGGTCCATCCACCTCATTACAAATAACTCAATTTCATATCTTTTTATGGCTGAGTAATATTCCATTGTATATATGTGCCACATCTTCTTTATCCAGTCATCTGTCGATGGACACTTTGGTTGCTTCCACGTCCTGGCTATTGTAAATAGAGCTGCAATAAACATTGTGGTACATGACTCTTTGAATTATAGTTTTCTCAGGGTATATGCCCAGTAGTGGGATTGCTGGGTTGTATGGTAGTTCTATTTTTAGTTTTTTAAGGAATCTCCATACTGTTCTCTATAGTGGCTGTATCAATTTACATTCCCACCAACAGTGCAAGAGGGTTCCCTATTCTCCACACCTTCTCCACCATTTACTGTTTGTAGTTTTTTGTGTTTTTTTCGCGGTACGCGGGCCTCTCACTGCTGTGGCCTCTCCTGTTGCGGAGCACAGGCTCCGGACGCGCAGGCTCAGCGGCCATGGCTCACGGGCCCAGCCGCTCCGTGGCATGTGGGATCCTCCCAGACCGGGGCACGAACCCGTGTCCCCTGCATCGGCAGGCGGACTCTCAACCACTGCGCCACCAGGGAAGCCCTGTTTGTAGATTTTTTGATGATGGCCATTCTGACTGGTGTGAGGTGATATCTCATTGTAGTTTTGATTTGCATTTCTCTAATGATTAGTGATGTTGAGCATTCTTTCATGTGTTTGTTGGCAGTCTGTATATCTTCTTTGGAGAAATGTCTATTTAGGTCTCCTGTCCATTTTGGGATTGGGTTGTTTTTTTTTTGATATTGAGCTGCATGAGCTGCTTGTAAATTTTGGAGATTAATCCTTTGTCAGTTGCTTCACTTGCAAATATTTTCTCCCACTCTGAGGGTTGTCTTTTGTCTTGTTTACGTTTTCCTTTGCTGTGCAAAAGCTTTTAAGTTTGTGTTCTATTTATTTTAATTGCATAACTAAAGGGGGAAGTTCACCAAAACTAGGGAAAAACCGTAAATCCCCGACCTAAACACTCTCTGCATCATTCCCTTCCCCAAGAGTAACCCTTCTGTAGTTGAATTATTGCAATTTGGTTCCTTTACAAAGAACATTTCCTTGTTCATTTTTTGCTGCTCCGAAGGCTTCAGCTCTCAGAAACTCCTAGAACGTTAGACTGAAACGCCATTAGGAACTGCCTCCTTGCCCAATTTTTTTGTCATGTGGCATGCAGGATCTTAGTTCCCCGACCAGGGATCCAATGCGTGCCCCCTGCAGTGGAAGTGCCAAATCTTAACCACTGGATGCCAGGAAAGGCCCTCCTCCTTGCCCAATTTGACTCTTACTTCTTTTTATAAATTTATTTTATTTATTTTTTTTTGGCTGCGTTGGGTCTTTGTTTCTGCACACAAGCTTTCTCTAGTTGTGGCGAGTAGGGGGTCTACGCTTCCTTGCAGTGCGTGGGCTTCTCATTGCACTGGCTTCTCTTGTTGCGGAGCACAGGCTCTAGGCACGTGGGCTTCAGTAGTTATGGCACGTGGGCTCAGTAGTTGCAGCTCACAGGCTCTAGAGCGCAGGCTCAGTAGTTGTAGTGCACGGGTTTAGATGCTCCGTGGTATGTGGGCTCTTCCCTGACCAGGGCTCGAACCCAAGTCCCCTGCACTGGCAGGCGGATTCTTAACCACTGCGCCACCAGGGAAGCCCGACTCTTACTTCTTGGCTTCTCCTTGTATTTTGGTACCAGTGAGTTCTCCTTAAACATGCTTGGACAATTGTTCCTGCTCAGTGACCCAACTCATCCTTAATGCCTGCTCCCTCTTTGCTTTCTAAGGGCCAGATCATGTGATTTGCCTCTCTCAGTAGACCATGAGTTCCTTAAGACCAGAAGCTATGCCAAGTGAAGGGGAACTTGGAGTTTTTGTCCTATTTTTGCCATTGTTCTCTCTGACATTGATTTGAAATAAAAACCAATATGAAAAATAGAAGGAAAAAAAAAAGACCAGAAGCTATATCTTACTAATATGTATATCGTCAGCACAGGTCCAAAGAAAGAGTCAACTTCTGTGAACATTTGTTAAATAAGCAAATGAGTGGGTAACTACACAAGGAACCAGGAATCCGTTGAGAGATATGTGATGCGTCCCAGAATTTCTTCATGGTTGACAAGGCTTCTCTATTCTTGAGCCTTTGCGGGGGCTCCAAGATGATGAGTGGCGTGGGTACATGAGTAGGACAACTCACGAAGCCCCATTTTCCTTAAGGGGCACTTGAACCCTGGAGTCCACACAGCCAGTTCTGGCTCTGCTCTCTGGACAAGGTGAAGGTGGCATACACACAGGGCTATTTTATGGAATCCTCAGTGGTACAGGACGGAAGTGAATCCCCGCTCCCTGTAAGGGGGTCCTGGCGTAGCTGAGCAGGAGACTCAGAAGACTCCGGTGGGCCTTCCTCTGTGTGGATCTGCCCGCATGAAGATACACAGTGAGGGGAGAACACCTGGGGGAGGGAGCAGGGGAAGGAGGAAAGACTCACATGCATGTCCATTTGTCTGTCCTCCTCAGGCAGGATATCCACTGAGACATCATCTGCAAGAAAAGAGGAGAGGAGAGGCTTCCAGGAAGAGCCTTCAGATTATCCAGTCTTGCCATCTATATTTCAGAGATGGATGACTGAAATCGGGGAAGGGCAGTGACATCACACCCAGTGAGGTTTGCCCCCAACCTTCTCGGCTTCTCTAGGATGCCTTCTATCTTCCCCACCCTGGCTACCCCTACTTCTCACTCCTCTTACGTTGATTTTCTTCCTGGAAGTCCATGTCTGGGCTGGAGCTAAGGGAAAGGAGATAGACGCATTCAGGTAGGTCTGAGAAATGAGACAGACACAGCATTCTCTATTGAGAGAGTCCAAATGTTCCTACCTGTTATCATTCACTTGGCCCTTGGTGTCATCCTCAGTGGCTCCTACAGAGAGTCAGTGATCAGAGTCCTGGTAGGGGACCCACAAAGCCCCTCCCCACACTCCTCCCAGGTTAACCCTTCCCCCTCCAGGACGTACTGTTTTTGGCTCGACACCAGCACCAGCAGAGGAGAAAGATAAGGAGGAAGAGGAAAGGTAGAATGCTGATGGCTGAGGTCACAGCCACAGTGGGAAGGTATTCATCTCCAGGAGGATTTAGGTAGACTTCAGGTAGATCTAGGAATTAGTAAACAGTGAAGATCTGTTACTGGTCTCCTCTTGGATTAATTCATCCATTCAATAAATATTTATTGTGTGTCTTCCATATATGAGGCAAGTTATTGGATGTTTTGGAAACTGTAGTGAACACAACCCAATAACAGAGTCTAGACATGTGAACCAAGACACAGAAGTTGCTACTCTTATTATATGATAAAACTATCTACCCTGCATTATAAGAGAGATTTCTTTGGGAGATGATCCCCGAAGGATAAGAAACACATAGATCTCCGAAGTGCAAGAAGAACTGCCTTCCAGGAAGAGGGAACAACATATGCAAACTCAGAGGTGAGAAGGAGTTTTGCGTGACCCACACACAGAAAGGACAAATGGTACATAATGTGAAAAATGGCTCTTGGTAAAGATAGAAACGTCAGGAGATATCAGCAAAGGTCCAAAACACTGGAAGCTGAGGAGAAGAGTCTGGATTTAAGTTTAAATGTAATAATGACCCACAAAGGGATTAACAAGCAGTGAGCTTGTAATTTTTTAAATTACTACATTTCTGGTGTGATAAATGGATTTAAGGGGCCAGGTGGAAAGTGGAGGGACAATTAGGGAACATGCTACAGGCAGCTACATGACAAATGATCATGTAATGACAATGTGGTGGTGATGAAAGAAAAAAGGGAATGGATTTGAGGAGTTTTTGAGGATAGAAATGATGAGCTTTGAGATTTAGAGATGCAGCAGATGGGCACTGAGAGCAAAAGAGGGGCATCATATATCATTCTCGATGAATTGATCATTGGAGAGGATGCATGGCATCTATTGAGATGGGAAGACCAATACAAGGAGGAGGTTCTGAGATGTGTTGGGAGTTCTGCCGAGATTCTCATTAGGTGTCTGAGCAGATGTCAAAGATTCCATTGGATAAGAAATTCACGGGAGCATTTTTGACTGGAGTGAGTGATAAGTTTGATAGCCATCAGCAGATACTGGACAACTGAAGCAGATCATCTTTAATCTACCCATTTTAATCCAATGTTAGTCTTCCCTGTCAACTTAAGAACAAATATCATTGCTTGGCATGATAAAAACTCTCAGCAAAGTGGGCATAGAGGGAACATGTATACTTCAACATACAGACCATATAAGACAAACCTACAGCCAACATCATACTCAACAGTGAAAAGCCAAAAGCATTTCCTCTGAAATCAGAAATAAAGACCCGGATGTCCATTCTCACCACCTTTATTCACATAGTATTGGAAGTCCTAGACACAGCAATCAGACAAGAAAAATAAGCAAAAGTCATTTGAATTGTAAAGGAGAAGTGAAGCTCCCTGTTTGCGGTTGACATGACACTATATATAAAAAAATATCCTAGACACCACCAAACTAATGCTAGAGCTCATCAATGAACTTGGTAAAGTTGTAGGATATAAAATTAATATACAGAAATCTGCTGCATTTCTATACACTAACAACAAAACATCAGAAAGAGAAATTAAGGAAACAATCCCATTTACCATTACATCAAGAAGAATGAAATTCCTAGGAATAAACCTACCTAAGGAGATAAAAGACCTGTACTCAGAAAACTATAAAACATTGATGAAAGAAATTGAAGATGACACAGAGAGAAAGATACATCATGTCTATGGATTGGAAAAATTAACACTGTTAAAATAGCCATACTACCTGAGGCAATCCACAGATTCAATGCAATCCCTATTAAAATGCCAATGGCATTTTTCACAGAACTAGAACAAATAATTCAAAAATTCTTATGAAAACACAAAAGACCTCAAATAGTCAAAACAATCTTGAGAAAGAAGTATAGAGCTGGATTTATCACACTCCCCACTTCAGTCTATACTACAAAGCTACAATAATCAAAACAGTATGGTACTGGCATAAAAACAGACATATAGATCAACGGAACAGGACAGAAAGCCCAGAAATAAACCCACTTAATCTGCAACAAAGAAGGCAAGAACATACAGTGAAGAAAAGACAGTCTTTTCAATAAGTGATGCTGGGAAAACCAGGCAGCTACATGTAAAAGAATGAAGTTACAACATTCTCTAACACCATATACAAAAATAAACTCAAAATGGATTAAAGACCTACATGTAAGCTTGGAAACCATAAAATTCCAAGAATAAAATATAGGCAGAACACTCTTTGACATAAATTGTAGCAATATTTTTTTAATCTATCTCCCTAAAGCAAAGGGAAAAAAAGCAAAAATAAACAAATGGGACTTAATTAAACATAAAAGCTTTTGCACAGCAAAAGAAAACACTGACAAAATGAAAAGACAGGGATTTCCCTGGTGGTCCAGTGGTTAAGAATCTGCCTTCCAATGCAGGGGACTTGGGTTCGATCCCTGGTCGGGGAATTAAGATCCCGCATACCGCGGGGCAACTAAGCCCTCATACCGCAACTACTGAGTCCGCGCACCACAACTAGAGAGCCCGCATGCCACAACTACAGAGCCCATGCGCTCTGGAGCCTGTGCACCACAACTACACAGTCCACGTGTTCTGAAGCCTACGCACCACAACTAGAGAGAAGTCTGCATGCCACATCGAAGAGCCTGTGGGCCACAACAAGAGATCCCACGTGCCACAACTAAGACCCAATGCAGCCAAAAATAAATAAATAAATAAAGATTTTAAAAAAATGAAAACACAACCTACTGAATAGGAGAAAATATATGCAAATGATACGACCAACAAGGAGTTAGTACCCAAAATATGTAAACAGCTTATACAAAGCACCAGCAAAAAACCCCAAACAACCTGATTTAAAATGAGCAGAAGAACTGAATAGACATTTTTCCAAAGAAGACACACAGATGGCCAACAGGCACATGAAAAGATGCTCAATATCATTAATCATCAGAGAAATGCAAATTAAAACCACAACGAGGGACTTCCCTGGTGGCGCAGTGGTTGAGAATCCGCCTGCTAATGCAGGGGACACTGGTTCGAGCCCTGGTCCGGGAAGATCCTACATGCCACGGAGCAACTAAGCCTGTGCACCACAACTACTGAGCCTGCGCTCTAGAACCCGTGAGCCACAGCTACTGAAGCCCACGTGCCTAGAGCCTGTGCTCCGCAACAAGGGAAGCCACTGCAGTGAGAAGCCCGCGCACTGCAACAAAGAGAAGCCCTCGCTTGCCGCAAGCAGAGAAAGCCCACGTGCAGCAATGAAGACCCAATGCAGCCAAAAATAAATTAATTAATTAAAAAAACACACACACACAACGAGATATTCTCTCACACCAGTCGGTATGGCTATCATCAAGAAGACCACAAATAACAAGTGTTGGCAAGGATGTGGAGAAAAGGGAACCCTCATACACTGTTGGTGGGAATGTAAACTGGAGCAGGCACTATGGAGAACAGTATGGAGACTTCTCAAAAAACTAAAAACAGAACTACCACTACTGGGTATACATTCGCAAAAAAATGAAAACACGAATTCTAAAAGATACATGCACCCCGATGTTCAGAGCAGTACTATTTACAAGAGCCAAGACATAGAAGCAATCCTAATTGTCCATCAGTAAATGAATAGACAAAGAAGATGTGATATACAGGTATATACAATGGCATATTAATCATTAAAAAAATCTTGCCGGGCTTCCCTGGTGGCGCAGTGGTTGAGAGTCCGCCTGCCGATGCAGGGGACACGGGTTCGTGCCCCGGTCCGGGAGGATCCCACATGCCGCGGAGCGGCCGGGCCCATGAGCCATGGCCGCTGAGCCTGCGCGTCCAGAGCCTGTGCTCCGCAACGGGAGAGAGGCCACAACAGAGAGAGGCCCGCGTACCGAAAAAAAAAAAAAAAATCTTGCCATTTGTGACAACACGGGTGGATCTAGAGGGTATTTTGCTAAGTGAAATAAGTCAGAGAAAAGACAAATACTATACGCTCTCACTTATATGCGGAATCTAAAGAACAAAACAAACAAAATGAAAATAGAGTCACTGAACCAGAGAGAAATAAACGGGTGGCTGCCAAAATAAGTGCAGGGGTTTAAGAAGTACAAACCTTAAGTCATCTAATAAATAAGTGACAGGGACGAAATATACAGCACAGGGGATGTGGTCAATAATAATGTGCCCTCGGCAATGGGAAAACCTCAATAAATGTTATCTAGCAATTGTTAACATTACACAATGACCCCTAATCTGAGCAAAATGTTGTTGTCTGAGCTTGACATGCATTGTATCTTAGCTGATGCAACAGCATTCTTCTTCTTCTCTTTTTTTTTTTTTGGCCATGCCCCCCGTGGCTTGTGGGCTCTTAGTTCCCCAACCAGGGATTGAACCTGGGCCATGGCAGTGAAATCGCCAAGTCCTAACCACTGGACCCCCAGGGAACTCCCGTTATTTCATTTTAGAAAGAAGGAACTTGGGACCCAAATGCAGGAAACTGCTTGCAAAATGTCCCAGAACCAGTCAATGTTGAGGTCTTCATTTTAAATAACTTTTTTTTTTTTTTTTTTTTTTTAGTGGTACGCGGGCCTCTCACTGCTGTGGCCTCTCCCGTTGCGGAGCACAGGCTCCGGACGTGCAGGCTCAGCCGCCATGGCT